GCCAATTCTTGTAAAAACAGGACAAATCATACCATGAAAGAACCAAAAATATAGAAAAAATTTCATAAAAAATATATCCAAGTATGAAAGGTGTCGCTCTTGTGGAGTCTTCACATCCTTCTCTTCTGCGTACTTATGTACAATACATTGTTTCCTCGGATAAATGCATCCCCGTACTTATTCTTCAGCTGTCCATTTACATATTCTTCTGTCTGCTCCAGGGCTATATTCATGTAGCCATCCAGGCAAGCCAGGACCCCTCGATAATCCACTCCGGAATTTAACTTTACCACAACTGGCCGTCCGATGATTTGCTTTAAGAAGTCACTAGGGGTTTGCTTCCGAAGACTCATTTTAATAATCTTGGGAGACAGGAAACCTGAGTTCTAATCCCAGCTCTGCTACTTAATTAGCTGTGTGACTTGGGTAGTAACTCATCATTTCACCTCTCATGGCCCCAGGTTCCTCATCTCGCGGCCGGGATCCAGAACCCTCACTCCAGACGCCCCACAAGCCCGGCCTCCCCCCACTTTCTTTTTCTTCTTCTTCTTCTTCTTCTTTTTTTTTTTTTAAGAGACAGAGTCTCACTTTGTTGCCCTCAGTAGAGTGCTATGGCGTCATAGCTCACAGCACTTCCAACTCCTGGGCTTAGGCAATTCTCTTGCCTTAGCCTCCGGAGTAGCTGGGACTACAGGTGCCCGCCACAATGCCTGGCTATTATTTTTTGTTGCAGTTCGGCCGGGGCTGGGTTTGAACCTGCCACCCTTAGTATATGGGGCCGGCACCCTACTCACTGAGCCACAGGCACTGCCCTAGAGATTTGTGGTTTTTTTTTTTTTGGTTGTTTTTTTTAGACAGAGCCTCAAGCTGTTGCCCTGGGTAGAGTGATATGGCATCACAGCTCACAGCAACCTCCAACTCCTGGGCTCAAGCGATTCTCCTGCCTCCACCTCCCAAGTAGCTGGGACTATAGGCGCCCACCACAACACCCAGCTATTTTTGTGGTTGTAGCTGTCGTTGTTTGGTGAGCCAGGGCTGGATTTGAACCTGCCAGCTCAGCGGTATGGGCTGGTGCCTTAGCCACTTGAGCCATAGGCACCAAGCCATTTCTCCCCACTTTCAGCTGTTCTAAAGGCTGTTTATATGCTCTATAGAAAGTGCCTACCTAATGCCAAGTCCCTAGAGTAGGAGACTGAGTCTCTCAATTTCAGGGCCTCCTGGAAGTCTTAAAGGTTGGGGTGCAACATAGTTTATATTCCCACTTCTTGGAGACTTCAATGGGCTTCCTCCAGGTTGCATCTCAGCCCCTCTGCATTCAGCATGCCAACTCCCCATTCTGTCCCCTGCCCCTATGAGGCATCCAGACCTGTCCATTGCTAGCTTTCCTGCCCACTCCAAGTCACCTCCATTTGAACACCAGTGCGACGTACCTTCCCACCTCCCACTTCCTACCTGAACCCCCCCCCAACCAAACATAAGACCACATACCAACGCGGTCCTCTTTGAGGAAAGGCCCTTCTGTGACCTGCCCTCAACCTCTGGCTGGTGCCTTGGCACAAAACCCAAAGCACACTACCATATGAAGCCAGAGGGCTAACCCAGGCCTGCTGTTACTCCGTAGACAAATGTGCGGTACAACATCCCTGTGTCTTCTGCCTCCCTTCCGGCCATCAAGAGCCTGGGCCTCAGGGGCATCTCCTGTATCAGCCTGACCGACCTGGATGGCTCACCCACTTCACAGCAGGTGTTGCAATCTGTGGCCCACCACATGGGGCCACACCTGCAGAGCTTGTGCCTGGGTGGGGGAAGTCCTACAGAGGCCTCTTTTGTGGCCCTGGTCCTGGGCTGCCCAGTCCTACGTATCCTTGACCTCAGTGGCTGCAATAGCCTCTTCACATCAGGCAAGCTGCTGTCTCAGCCCGAGATGGCACAGAGCGTCCGAAGGGCACTGAGTGGCCTCCGTGAGCTCAACTTGGCTGGCCTGCGTGACCTAGCTGACCTTAGCTTCAACCAGCTCAGTAGCTGTACCCCCAGTCTGGAGCGCCTCTCCTTGGCCTACTGCCACCTCACCTTCGAGCTGGGCCCAGCCCAGGGCTCTATTGGCCCCCAAGACTCCTCCCCATCCCAATTCTCCTTTCGCAATCTACTACGATTTGTGAAGGAGAGGGCTGGCAGGCTACATGCCCTGGACTTGAGTGGCACTGGCTTGCCACCTGAGGCCCTGCAGGCCCTGGGCCAAGTGACTGGGCTACAGCTGCAGGAACTGAGCCTGCACAGCTGCCGGGAGCTCTCCACGGAGGCTGTGGCCACCCTGTGCCGCCAGCAACCAGGCCTTACCTCCCTGGACCTCAGCGGCTGTTCAGAACTGACAGATGGGGCACTCTTGGCTGTGAGCCGGGGCCTGCGGCACCTGCGGTGCTTGAGCCTGGGAAAGCTGCGGCGACTGACAGATGCGGGATGTGCAGCCCTCGGGGGCCTGCATGAGTTGCAGAACCTCAACATGGCTGAGTGCTGCCTGGTGAGCGGGAAGGAACTGGCCCAGGCCCTGGGCTCAATGCACAGAGCCCCATCCCGCCTGGTGTCCCTCAGCCTGGCCTTCTGCTCTTCACTGAAGGTGAGTACACGTCATCCCCCTCCTCCCTCTATAGGGCCAGGATGGGAGGCGTGAGGGGACTGGGCCTGTGGTGCCAGAGAGGCTCCCCAGTATTTGTGTCCAAGGATTACTGGTTAGAACTGAACTTGGGCCACAGTCTGGAAGATTAATGGTGTCTAGAGACAATGCTGCTGCCAGCACTGCTCCCCAGAGTTCCCACGCTAGGCTGGGGAGGACCAGGAGACCAGGGTGGTCCAATACCTCACATGCCAAGTGCTTAGGTGACCACTGTAGTCTGGGGAGAGGCACTATGGATGAATGTTCTGGAGGTGGGAGGGTGCTGGAGAAAGAGGGTGATGGAAGAGAAGGGTGAGGAAGGGGCAGTGAAGAAGGCGCTGGGGCAGGTTATATGACATGGGAGCAGCAGGGTCATTTCTTGTTTGAGGCCAGACCTGTGGGTGGTGTCCCTGTCTTGGCAGTGTCAGTCTGTTCCTCTTCAGTGAATTATTCCTTCAACCCATTCATGTGACCGGGGCATTTTCAGCCTAAACACCACCCCTGCCCCACTCCACTTTCTTTATCACCTAGCCTCTCTTGGTTGCTCTCTCCCAGGCCCCATGTTCTGTGCCTCTGCAGCTCCTACCTCTGGCTCTGTACAAATCAGCTTCCTCTACTCTGCCCTCAGCTCCTATACCTCAACCCTGCCTCCTCTTGACTGGTGGCAGATCTACCCCCAACTGCAACCTCACAGTCTGATTCAAATTCTAGAGGGAGCTTATCAGATTGACTCAGGAGGGGCAGTGTCAGCTGTCTGCCTCAGGTCCAGTGAGCTTTGGTCAGAGGGCTGCCTCAGCCCACCTTCAGCAGAGGCTGAGAGAATAGCCAGGGCAACTTAGGAAGTTCTACCTGCCCCAGCCACAGTCTAGGCCTTTGTTTTTCGGCAACCTCCTCCAGTTCTCTTTGTCCACTCTGACCGCTCACTGCCAGCACAAGGACCATAGTGCTTCCCTCCTTGGACCTTCTGGTAGCTCCCATGCCTCTCTCCTGCCCACAAGGCAGTAACTTTAGATCAGTGGTT